CCAACAGGTAAGGGGCCCCCAAGAGACGGGGAAAGTCCATTTCCTGTTCCCTTATCTCTCAAGCGAGGGGCCCCCAGAGAACCCCTCTTTAAACCCTCTAGACGGTCTTGGAGGGCCCCCCAGAGAGCAGCAAGGCCTGAGGTGTGCTGCTGCTGCTGCTGCTGCAGCTGATGTGCAGCAGCAAGACGCCGGGGCCCCCCTGTTAGGGGCCCCCTTGTCCTACATGACCCTAAAGGAGAAGGGCTAAGAAGACAACGACAAGGGAAGGAAAAGGAAGAAGACAATTGCCTGGGCATTTGCAAAGATTGCAAGGGGCCCCCGCTGGTAACACGAAGCAGCCATAGAAAAACCTCTTTTTAGGGTTTAGGGTTTAGGGTTTAGGGAGGTATGTCTCGCAAGAGCATTCAAAATAGTGCAATACGTAAAGAACAATATTCAGAGTTAAAGAAAAAAATAGATGATTTTGTCTTTAGGGTTTGGGGTTTCTACATAGGAAGAGGGTTGGGGGCCCCCCTGTTGGCTATGTTGGGGGCCCCCCTTGGGGCCCCCCCCCCAGGGGTTCAGCTTTCTGCGGGTATTTGTTCTTTGTGTGTGTATTTTAATGAATAAAATATAAATATAAATAGATTATATGAAAATAAATAGAAAATATATTTAATTTCCCCTTAGATCGCTTTGCTTTCCTTTACATCATTTGGGGTGTATAGGCAGCTCGTGTGTACACGTGGTTGTGCAACTTTTGCAGATTTATTCATCAATTTTTTTCTTTTTCGCTGTTTTTCCTGATTTTTTTTCTTTTTTTCTTTAATTAATTATAAAAGAATGTCTACAACACATCCTACAGATATTGAGACCGAATGGGACTCTTTACAGCGTAAATATGGTAATCTTCCCCCTAAACCACCAAGAGAAACAGAGGAAGAAAAAACAAAAGAATTAGTTAATTCTCTTGAATCTATTGATCCTCTTGCTAACAAAAGTCTTTCTCAATTAAATAAACTAGAAGATGAACTTGAAGAAGATATACTCAATAAATACAGACAAAAAAGAATACAGGAATTAAAAAGAAAGCAAAAAAGCTACCGGTATGTACTGCTGCTGCTGTTGCTGTTCTTGTTGCTTCTGTTGCTGTCCTTGCTGCTGCTATTTTCCTTGTTGTTCTAGCTGCTGCTGTTGTTTTAGCTGCTGCTGCTGCTGCTACACTAAGAAGTAGTATAATCAGTTTTCTATCGATCCATAGGAAGACAAGTAGCAACAGCA